TTTGAACTTGCACTATTCAGTGCAACCCATGGAACTCGTTCAGTGTTGGTGTGAACTGAGTGCGCACTGGTGCGCACTAACTTTTGCCCAATCGAAAACGCTATTAGTTTCGCATTTGCACTCTGATGGTACATGGTTCACACTATTTGCGTTGACCATTAGGCGTCGTCTACAATACACGGAGTAAGAAGTAAGAGTAAGAAATTGACCAATCACAGTCGATTATTCTTCTCACATTCGACTGTGATTAGTCAATTTTTTACTCTTACTTCTTACTCAGTGTATTGTAGACAACGCCTTACAGACGGGGTGATTCCGATTGACCACGTCTCGATTGGCCACCACCAATCACAGCGACCGGTGCTTAGGAGCTTTGTAGTCTCAAGCGCTGTGAGTGGCTCGTGTCCAATTGAGCCGTGTCCAACTAGGTGCCACCCGTTACAGACTAACACATTCGAAATCCAGTATTCACGTTTTGTATGTTTGCCGCTCTTATTGATCCTGTAATTTAGGCTACATGTCTAGTTTCAAGTAATTTATGAATTAACATTCATTCACTATTAATTGGTATCAACACGCTGCGCTATGTCCTATCTTTATATATGTTCGCAGATTACCGCCTTTCCGGTCTCCGTGCACCCTGCCTCACGCATCCGTCCATACCGTACTACACAATTTTGGGTGGCACCCAGTTGGACATGGCTCAATTGGACACGAGCCACTCACAGCGCTTGAGACTACAAAGCTCCTAAGCACCGGTCGCTGTGATTGGTGTCCAATCGAGACGTGGTCAATCGGGATCACCCCCACAATTTTATATGCAGTAATCGATCATCATAATCTCCTCACACACTCATGTTCTATCGTCTACAATGTTTGTATTATCTAAACAGAGTGAAACAACCAATACTCAGTGTTTGCATATAATGTATTCCCCGCGTTTATTCTGCACACAAATTAGACTCAACGACTTTCTTCAGCCAGTGACAAATCTTATACGTGATACCATCTGATTCCGCCAGTCGCGGCACTAGTTATTTTCATCCAATCACCAATACTCATGGAAGTGAGACTTAACTTACTCTAGGGAAATGTAATAGCAAATCAAGGTATATTCCTCGCTCATGGGATACCCCGCGGGGTGAGAGGCCGGGGGGAAAACTGGACGAGAGGGGTACTGTGGTGCGGGGGGGCAGCCAACGAGCGAGCTGCTTTTACCTCCCACCACCTCTCGCAGTTTTCCTCTCCGGCCCCCGTCCCCACGGGTGCATGTGTGTGTGAGCTCGTGACGTCACGACGCGAGGAGCGACGTGACGAAGGTCCTGCG